TTGCTTCTGCTCCTGCTTTACATCAATGATAGATAAGGAGCAGCAACGGCATTGGGAGAATCTGCTTCGTTTAAATTATGAATACCATTTAGGATGCTATACACAATTCCGCCATGCTATGTTATCTACTGCAAATCGTTGAGCGATATTTAGATTTGTAATGGTGATGGTAGTGGTGGCGGTTCATTAAAACCAGCAAAGATGACTAAACAAACATGCCGTTTAAAATCTATGCCAACTGGATGAATGGGCTGGGCTGCTGCTGCTGCTGAAATTTAAGATTATTTCATAATGTGTTCTCATTATCCTTTTTGCCGTTGGAATACTTGGAAAAAAAGAATTTAGAAATAAAATATCTTTAGTTTTGTTTGTTTTGCTTTGCTGATAGCATAACAGGGATAAAAGGATAATAGATATTTTTATGAAATGGAACACACTAATTATTTTTAATTGCTTCTTTTGTTGGTATGTGTGTTTTTGAGAATCTTCAGAGGATTGTGCATGATTCTAGGAGGAAGAAAATATTGAGTTTTACAAAATTTGGAGAATGGTATGGCATTTTGGAAGGAGAATCCAGAAAAGCTTAAAAACTTTATTCGCAGAGATTTCAATAATATGCTGCTATACCGGCAATAAGTATGAATCGTTCATATCAGCCCGAATAGGGGATGGAGGCGATATTCCAAGGAAGACATGCCGGGGGAAATTAGGAATAACGGAAACGACCGACCTTCTACGTGGCCACTGCGAAATGTCAAATGGGGAGCTGTTCGCTAAGGTTCTACAAAATCTTGAAAATATCCACGATTTATTACCTGAAAGTTCTTGAAAAAATGACTCTTTGAAATATGATATTATTGAAAGGTCCCTGAAAAAATATTATTTTAAATATCCACAATGATTGACCTGAAGGTCAGATCCAGAGGTCCTTAAAAATAGTCAGTAAAATATCGACGATTTTTGATCTGAAGGTTCTTAAAGAGATTCTCTTTAAAATATCCTCGATTATTGACCGGGTGTTATTGTCTTAACATTCTACGATTATTGATCCGAATGTCCTAAAAGAGTATTTCTTAAAATGTTAGACTATTATCAAGTGGGGAGCTTTTCGCGAAGGTTCTAAAAAATCTTGAAAATATCCAAGATTTCTGACCTGAATGTCCTTGAAAAAATGACTCTTTGAAATATCATATTATTGGACCTTTCAAAAAAATATTATTTTAAATATCCACGATGATTGACCTGAAGGTCAGATCCGGATGTCCTTAAAAATAATCAGTAAAATATCCACGATTTTTGATTTGAAGGTTCTTGAAGAGATTCTCTTTAAAATATCCTCGATTATTGACCTGGTGTTACTGTCTAAACATTCTACGATTATTGATCCGAATGTCCTAAAAGGTTCTAAAAAATCTTGATAATATCCAAAATTTATGACCTAAATTTCCTTGAAAAAATGACTCTTTGAAATTTGATATTATTTATTAAAAATAGTCAGTAAAATATCCACGATTTTTGATCTGAAGGTTCTTGAAGAGATTCTCCTGGTATTATTGTCTTAACATTCTACGAGTATTGATCCGAATGTTCTAAAAGAGTATTTCTTAAAATGTCAGACTATTATCAAATGGGGAGCTCTTCGCGAAGGTTCTAAAAAAATCTTGAAAAGATCCACGATTTATGAACTGAATGTCCTTGAAGAAATTACTCTTTGAAATATGATATTATTGAAAGGCTCCTGGAAATTATTCTTTAAGAAACGTCGATTATTGATCTGTAAATTCTTGAAAAATGTATTCTTTAACATATCTCATTATTAACTAAAATGTCCTTAAAAATATTATTTTAAATATCCACAAGTACCTGAAAGTTATAGAGAATAAATTCTTTAAAATATTCACGATTATGAACCTGATTATGGATTAATTATCCCAACATCCTAAAGAAGTATTCCTTTAAATATCTGAATATTGATCAAAAGGTCCCTGGAAAAATATTATTTTAAATATCCACGATAATTGACCTGAAGATCAGACCCAGAGGTCCTTAAAAATAGTCTGTAAATTTTTGATCTGAAGGTTCTTGAAGAGATTCCTTTTAAAATATCCTCGATTATTGACCTGGTGTTATTGTCTTAACATTCTACGATTATTGATCCGAAATTATCAAATGGGGAAATGTTCGCGAAGGTTCTAAAAAATCTTGAAAATATCCACGATTTATGACCTGAATGTCCTTGAAATAATGACTCGATGAAATATGATATTATTTAGAGGCTCCTGAAAATTATTCTTTAGGAGCGATTATTGATCTGAAAGTTCTTGAAAATTGACTAAAATGTCCTTAAAAATATTATTATAAATATCCTCAATGATCTGAAAGTTATTGAGAAAGTATTCTTTAAAATATCCACAATTATGGACCTGATTATTGATTATGGATTATTTATCCCAACGTCCTAAAAAGTATTCGTTTAAATATGTGAATATTGATTAAAAGGTCCCTGAAAAAATATTATTTTAAATATCCACAATGGTTGACCTGAAGGTCAGACCCAGAAATCCTTAAAAATAGTCTGTAAAATATCCACGATTTTTAATCAAGAACCTTCTTGAAGAATTTGTCTTTAAAATATTCTCAATTATTGACCAGGTGTTATTCTCTTAACATTCTACGATTATTGATCCGAATGTCGTAAAAAAGTATTCCTTAAAATATCAGACTATTGACTAAAAGGTCCTTGAAAAAATAATATTTTAAATAGCAACGATCATTGATTTGAGGGTCAGATCCAGAGGTCCTTAAAAATACTTTGTAAAATATCCACGATTATTAACCTGAAAGTCCTTACAGGACTTGCAAATATCGAAAGGTATTGACCTGAGAACCTGAGGTATTGACGTGAAAACTTTTCAGAGAGAAAGTCAAAGCGAGCTGCTACAACGAACCACGGCGCAAGATATCAAAACAAATCTGCCTCAGCATCTATTAATAATGAATCATATATCGTCGTTTCGGATTACAAGCCACTGTCACTTACGATCAAAAATGTTCAGATGGGATAACTCTAACGCCGAATACTGCAGGCGGTGTGAGGATGAGGAAGAGAATGACACAATCGAATATTGGTAATATCTGATTATACACTCAGCCATATGCCTAGAGAAGGGGGTGGATACGGTCGAAATTTGGTACATCGTAATATTATTATCGAAATTAGATCGAGTTCGGAGATGGGCAATATCGGTCCACTCCTTCTGATACCTCCCCCACAAAGGTTGAAATGGTCAAAGAAAATATTTTAGAACACAGAAAGAGAAAGGATAATTCTAGTATTTGCATCAATGCTAGGTCAGATGCGAAAATTAAAAATATCGGTCCACTCCATCAAGTACCTCCCCCACAAAGGGTCAAAATTTCAAATATCCATGAAGGTCATAGAACGCGAAATTAACAATTGATTCCATTCAGACTTGGAACATCTCAATACTTCCGTCAACACAAGATATTTTATAAAGATGGTAGAGATCGGACCAGTCCTTCTGGTACTTCCACCACAAACGGTCAAAGTTTTTAACAACTAAAACGAACATAAAATCCGAAGTTAGCATTCGGTTGTCTTCATATTTCACACATCCCATTATTTTTACTAACACATGGTCTGCTGTGAAGATGGAATATATCGGTCCACTCCTTCTGGTATCTCCCCCACAATGCGTTAAAATTTTGAATATCAGTAAAGCTCTTAAAAATCGGAATTAACATCCGATTCCATGCAGAAGTGGACGGAAGAAAACAGCAACATCAGCAGAAGTGGTTCGAAAGGTAAAGAAGCGACTTGATCGAAACCCGCGTAGCAGTGGGCGAAAAATGGCTAGTGAGCTGAACATATCGCAATCTTCCATTCGGCAAATATTGAAAAATGAGCTCGGGATAAAGCTATTGAGGTCAGGGTAAAGCCAAGCTAAAAATGTGCACCTTCGGTTGGCCACCATAACTCAAACGCCGGCCATGGTGATGGTGTGGTCCGCCATAACAGCCTTGACTTTGTTGCAGTTTTTTTATATCATCCTGTAAACGTAACTCAAAGCTGGGGTATACATCTGTCGGCAAAACCTGATGCTATTTAACTTGTACTGGTTAAAGACACATAGGTGAAATTAGTATAGGCCCAGTGTAGAGGTGTGGTTCGGAGTGCATCAATTTAATATGAATTTTCCGAAAAGAACATCATTCTCATATTTTTTAGCTGTGGAAGACCCTACAATTTCATCTGACTTCCACATCATGTTATACTTCACTAGACTTCGAAATTCTTCGCACAAAAAATAATCACGATATACCTGCAACGCCACAGGACATAATCGTTTCGTAGAAGAAGAAAATACGACATCACCACAAAATTCCACCATCCTAGAAAATCACCTGATCGCACATAATATAGATAAATTATCTTCACTCTCTGCATGCCCCATAAATTGTGAATTATCCTTATTGTGTATCCTTCTGCCTTTTAAATTATTATATAGAATTCCTTTAAAAACACAATGAAATAAATGAAAACACGTAGTTTTCTCTTAGTACTACTACCACCACATCACACACACACACGCACACAGATTCAATGACCTGGATTTGAAGGGACAAACAAACCCGAAGAAAAAAAAAAACAAGAAAAACAGAGGAAGCAACAAAACAAGAATCTGTATTTTATGCGCACAGAATTGTAAACTAATGATAAGCCCCTTGGAGTACAGGAACAGACAGACAGACAGAGGGATAACTTGTACAGCAGGACAAAAAAAACCTGGGAGACAAACTGCCAAAGGCCTGGTAAAATTGTTAAGAATGCTTTAAAAAAATGCATAAATAAATTAAATTTTTACAATTCATGTCCCCTCGTTCACCAAAAAACTGAGGGGCTAACACTACAAAATTCAATCTAACACCTTCAAAGAGAAAATATGTCGAATATTACAGCTCAATACATATTTACTTACCATTTGATAAGACAAACTGATAGGTTCTCTAGGAGACAGACAGCAAAACAGGAGAGGGGTAACGAAAACAAGAAATGCACCTGATGATGATAATCGTAGAGTTGTTGCTGCAATTGTTGCTGTTTGATTGTTGTTCTTGTTTCTCTGTTCGACGTCAGTGATAATATTCAAACTTTCACTTCTTTAGTTTTGTTTTTTTTTCGTTTGTCTCTCTGCACAAGGAGTTGAAAAAAATGGGACATTTATATTAGAGGAAACACGTATAAACACATACACGCACACTAACACACACACATATAGGGAAACGCGGAAAAAATAAAACAAAAACACACTCGCACACGAATAACGGTAATCAAGGTGAAACAGGATCAGCAATGCAAATGGGTAATTGATAACACCAATCACCTATCAACGAGGAGGATGGCAACACTAATTGCCTTGTGCTTCCTCTTGGTTTTTCTTGTTATTGTTGCTCTTGTGTTATATATTTTTGTAGTACTATTAATTTTCGGCCAGGCTTACTTTCCGCTGGCTGGATGGCTGGCTGGCTTATTGGTTCAGCTCAGTTATTTGTATGAATGAATTTAGCTCTCACACCTACGCGCCTTGTATCATGTTGTTCTCTCTCTGCCTCATTCTCTCCCGCACACACAAAATAACTCTCTCATGTTCGTTTTGTTACACATTTTTTCTAAGGTTGTCAACATGAATCTTAGTCGTCTTTTTTTGCTAGATTTTGTTTTTTTGTTAAGGTTTCAGCAATTTTTACTTTTTTTGTTTCTCAAATGCGGGCTATGTATCCGCAAGCTATTAATGTCCTTGTAAACTAGCTAGCTCTGGCTGACACAATAAGAAAAAAGGTTTTTTGTTTTGCTTCTCCGCCAAAAAAATGTAACACATTTAATTACACATACACACACACGACGACGACACGTCAAGGAGATACAACAATGAAAAATGTTGGAAATATGACACCCATAAACAGTGTGGCCAATTTGGTGATTTTTGCGGGTTGATTAGGGATTTTTAACATTATTTAGTGTAAGAATTACTGTATATCCAAAATATATTTATATAACGCATATGCCAGGTCTCAATTTAGTTATGAGAGTCTAGGGGAACCTAGGACATGGACAAAAATGCGCGATTCTCTAACTCATATTTTAGAGTTACCGACAAATATCGATTAAAATTATTAATACAAGTAAAATAGTATCAGTCGATTTTGCCGACATATGTATACCCCCAGCCTTGGGTTATGATAATTGAAACTGTTGACCCTTTATGGAGGAGGTTCCGAAGCAGTTGGCCAATACATATTGACCAATTTGTATCTCAACTAAGACGGATATAAATATTACAATGTGCCATATTTGGACTATGTCGACTACTTCCTATACTTTATATGAGGAATGGTCCGATCTCTATCATCTTTACAACAAATCTTGTGGTGGTAAAAATACTGAGATGTGCCAAGTCTGAATGGAATCTGATACAAATTTCGTGTCTTATGAGCCTTATGAATATTTATAATTTTGACCCTTTTGCGAATACTAAAAGGATAGAACCGATATATTCCATTTTCACACCAGACCTTGGGTTAATAAAAATATTGTGATTTATGTGATTTAAAGAGAATCGGATGCTTATTTCGGATTTTATAATCGTTTTGGTTATTTAAAACTTTGATCCTTTGTGGAGGAGGTACCAAAACGAATGGTCCGATCTCTACCATCTTTATAAGAGATCTTGTGTTAATGGAAATATTGAGATGTAGCAAGTCTGAATAGAATCGGGTGATAATTTCTCGTTTTTTGAGCTTCATGTATATTCAAAATTTTGACCCTTTTGTGGGGGAGGTACCAGAAGGAGAGAACCGATATATTCCATCTTCACCCCAGACCTTGGCTTAATACATATATTGTGATGTGTGTAATTTAAAGAGAGCCAAATGCTTTTTTCGTATTTTATAATCGTTTTGGTTATTCAAAACATTGACCCTTTGTGAGGGAGATACCAAAAGGAATGGTCCGATCTCTGCCATCTTTATAAGAGATTTTGTGTTGATGGAAATATTGAGATGTGCCAAGTCTGAATGGAATCGGATGAGCTTCATGAATATTTAACATTTTGAACCTTTGTGGGGGAGGTACCAGAAGGAGTGAACCGATATATTCCCTCTTCACAGCAGACCTTGAGTTAATAAAAATATTGTGATAAAAGAGACAAACGTCTTATGTCTTACTTTTTCAAGAGAAACAGCAAGAGTACATTTACGTTCTCTAAGGTTTTGAGAAGAGAAATAAGAAGAAAAGCACTACCGCTTTGTTCGGGTGTAGTTGCAAATCTCATTTTTACATTTGGTTCTTCGAGCCGGGTTTGAATTGAATCTACACCCGAACAGCACGGTTGATTTCTCCTCTCATTTTTTACATTTGGTCCTTCGATCCGAATTTGAGTATTGAATCGCCCGAACAGAACAGCCGGTTTCTCTTCTCACTCTGCGTGTCCTGGGGAATTGTTCTTTTCGAAACAAATTTAAAATTCTGAAATTTACGATCGAAAATTTTTCCAAATCTATAACAGATTTTCAAATCTGCATTGCTAGAAGTTGAGAGATGTCGGTTTGAGATGGGAAAAACAGAGAATTTCTATGTTATGCTGGACAAAGTGAATGTAATAAGTTGTCTCTAGAGTTGAATAATTTTCGAATTTATCCGTTTAAAAATGAATTATAACAATATTAAATAACTGAAATAGACACACTTCTTTCGTATTTTTTATTTCGCTCATAATGTACATTGAATATTTTATGTAATATGGCTGTCAGTTTTATGTTATGGCTGTCGGCTTTGCCCCTACAAAAAAACTCCAATAAGAAAATAATTGCAAATTTCCTTTCCCTTTTTCCAAAAATCGTTTATTCACTGAAACTTATTATTTATTGGTAAATTCAATATTTTTTATTATCTTTTTTATTGCTACATATTTTTTTTTCAAAATGATGCAATAAGTCTAAACTTTCAATTGTCCGCTGAGAAAATTTCATGAATTTTTATTATATTCCAATTTATTTTAACACCAAATCTATTTCACGTTATTTTATTTTATGTTTAGATATTTATGCAAATATATATTTTTGTTCGACGCAAGTAAATGCCGGTTCCGCTGACATTTGTTAACTGCCGTATTTCATGTCAATTCACCGGATATAGCCGTTATGGGCAAAGTTTGCGTTTTTGCAATTCCAAAAAGTTGGCAGCACTAATTGTCACTCTATCCGTTAATGAAGTGAGCAACAATACAACATTGACATTTTTGAGAAAGAGAGTATTTACTAACTGTGTTGGAGCACTCAGAGAGTAAATGTGTGTGTGCGTTAGATGGGGGGAAAATAAAGCAAAACAACAGCAACGCAACACCAACAAAAGAAGGAGTTTCATAGTAAATAACGAACAATTTGTCATTTCTTTCCACTAAACACAACACAAAATGGGTTGAATCAATCCATGTAAATAGGAAATAGGAAACACAAAAACACTTGTTTCCCTCAGATGGCAATATGGCTTTTAAAGGGTGCCTTAAACTTTTTTGGTTATTTCCAAAGGAAATGGAAACACTTTTTAATGGATGGTAAATGATAATGATTAGCAAACAAAATACGATAACAACAATTGGGAGAGAAAAATCAATAATTAATTTGTTAACATCACAGCCGATAATGGATTTGACTGTTTTGCTTTCTTTATTTCACCGTTTATTTTCCGCAATTAGCAAACAAATAACTGAGTTGAATAATAATTTTATTTGAACAAAAACATTAACACCACATTAGCGACAAACTAATTTCTTTGAGACACAGATATGTAGGTCTTCTCTACTTGACACACTATTTGATTTTTTGGCCATTACACCTCGTTGTTATTGTTATTTTCTCATGTTGTCATTGATGGCTTAGCGTTGTTATTGGTTTATTTTGTATTTCTTATTTTTTTGTTAATCAAGGGTAGGGTTTTGTAAAGAAATTTTTCACGTATACACAACGAGTCGGGTCTTGAGAAGACAAACACACAGCCACACTTGCATTGCTCTCTTTCTCTCTATCGCACGCTCTCTCACACCCAAATAAAACACACGCACATCAGTCACTCACTACAAATACACGCACCCCAAACGACCGACCCTACACTGACACACACACATATATAGATATACATATATAGGAATTCTTTTTTTCATTCTATTTTTTTTTTTTTTCTTATTTGATTTTTTGCAAAGATTCATGTTTTCTTCAAAAACTCCCATAATTTGGTGTAATTTTTTGAAAATTCTTATCACAATTTTATCACAACAAAACACACTATAATTTGCATATAAATTTTCCATAATTTCATTACATTTTCAATGTAAATTTTTGCACTGAATTTTCTTATTCTACACTTTTCTTTGCTGTTTCACACCAGATCTAGTGTAAAAAATTCTTCTTGTTTTTTTCTTGTCACGCAGCGTATTATTTTATCTCTTGAAAACACACCCGTTCACGGTCTCACTGCTACGAAATGACTGCGATGTGAACGAACAATATGCCTTGCCATGGGCTAACACAGATGTTGGACAGATTTTTTCATTGACTATGGCAATGCATGGCATTTGTGTAGAGGTATTTGTTAGTTGGCTCGTTAAAGTTACATTCCAAGCGTTGAGCGTCATTGTGGGCGATTCATGGCATGAGTTTGAGGATAAAAATTTACTAAAACTACAAGAAATTATGTCGAAATAATACGTAATAGAGTATTTAATTCTAGAAATTATTGGTATAAATGTTTTTTTTTTATGTTAACATAGCCATAACTTATTTTGTTTTATTTTTATTGCTAAACGCAAGCGCTTTTTATTTAACCGAGCGGAAGCCGCCCCTTGTCTTTGGCAACTCTCTGCCTAATCGATTACAATGGTTGGCAATACATGGTTTAGAGAGGGAGATCTACAGGAAATGAGAAAATTCAAGCAGCTGCTTTTGTTTTTATTTGATTCCCATAAGAAGGTTCATTTCTCGATCTGTTGAACCCTATAAATAGTCATTTTCAGCCGGTTGTTCCCTAGTAGTATACGGTTTTCAATCTGTTGATCCCTACAGAGAGTGACTTTTCAATCTGTTGATCCCTTGAATTTATTTTTAAACGTTTAATAATTTAATTTAATTTGAAAATTTATGCCAAGTATAGTAATAATATTAATAATGTATGTAATTTTTAATAATTACGATAATTGTGCGTAAGAATGTATTAAAGGTCGTCTGTCAGTCATTAGAAATATTTTCAAAGAAATTGTTCTACAGGATGTTCTTTTTAATATCTTCCTATTCAGAGTATGTGCATTGGCACTGTCTTCTTTGTGCGTAAAGGATTAACTTCGATACCACTCCGAGACCTTCTTACAAATTATTAAACAATGCTAGGAGGATCCACATCGGATAAAAACGTTAGTGCATCCAATTACATTTATAATTTTATTAATACATTTTTGGGTTATATTCATGGATACTTCTAGATTTTTATATATTTCTAAAATAAATTAAATTATAGGGGAATTCATATTGCGTTCTTCATTACAAACAAAACATATAATAAATTTTAAAGTTAAAATCACCAGTATTGGTTATTCCACAACAAACACATCCGTACCATAACTAAAAGATGCAATAAATGTAATAAAATTTTTGTCATAAGGTCTTATCCGCTGAAAAACAAGCTATGCATCATTAAATTAAGTAAATTCTGTTTTGTAAGCTTTTATTTTATCACGCCACAAACGCTATTTGCGCTCTAATCTCTAGTTGAGAAAAATCAAATTTCCTTTTTTTACATAATTACACATAAAATTAATAGAACGTAAATCTTTGGCCATCAAGCTAATGTTTCTAGCTGGGATTTTGATTAAAATTAATGGAATAACCACCGGTAGCTGGATCTTGTTGCATTTGGAAATTTGATGTAGACAAACCGAAGGGTTTCAATATCAAATTTCCCAGGTCTTTAAGTTTCTCCATCATTTCCCCCTTTAGACGTTCATTACGCTCGGTGATAAGTGGTGGTAGGCGAATCATGGCTTCGCGAGCTTCATGTTGACCAGGATCCAATTCAAAGGCGCGCTTATAATCAGCCAAGGCTTCATCCAATTTGTCTTCATGCTCATACAGCTTGGCGCGCCTAAAGGCAATAAAACATCAAACAACTAAATCTAGAGAAAATCAACAAAACTACCATACCTCATCAGCGCCCTAACGTATTCCGGCCACAGTTCAATGGCCTTGGTGCAATCTTCGATTGCCGCTTTTTTATTCTCGATTTTTATTTTGGCCGCCGCTCTATTGGCATATAACACCGCACGATCCTTTGTATATTTTGTGGGACAAACACCCAACGCCTCGGTATAAATGTCGATGGCACGTTCTGACTCATCATTTTTAAACAATTCATTGGCTTCCAATTTCATTTTTAGAGCTTTTTCTTTATTGGCCTCCAACTCTTCGGGGCTCATTGTTTTCTCTCGTTCCTTAAGGGCTTCCTCGTCAACTTCATCATGCAAATACACAGGGCCCTCTTTGTTGTCATTACTACAGCTGGCCGTCTCCTCCTCCTGCTCTTGACCAGCATGTGGGGTGCCATCGTCTAGTTTTAAATCGCCTATACCGCTTTGTTGTTTAATAATTTCTTCAACAATGGATGAGTTTGTCTTGACTGTGGCATCATCAGATGCTGGCTTGGGAGTTGGAGTTGGTTCATTAACGGCATCTTGAAACTCATCATCACTGTCAACTAATTCTGTAATTTCTGGCATGTTGTTTTTGTTTTCTTTTTCTACAAGTTTCCAAGAGAAAACACAAAATTACAAATTACGCCTTCTTCGCACACGTCCGTCAAAGTTCGCCCTTCTTTTCTAGAAGTTTCCTCCACCTCATTTTGGGAAACCAAAATGAAAGACGTCCCCAACGGAACAAATAAGAAATCAAAAAGAAATGCCCGATAAAAAAGAACGAGAAAGCAAAATCCCCGAGGGACCTCTGTTGTTTACGAATGAGTGGAATGCATAACCCGATTTTATTAATTCGAAGTCCGCCCTTTATTGAAATGACGCCGTCCAGATGAAACAAGAAAAATTAGGGATCTAGTAGTCGATGTTTGATCAAAGAAACAGCTAACTAGTTGTTGGATTTTCGAACTCATTTTTTGAGTTAGGGTGGAAATACATAAATCGCTTAACTGGCTGGCTTAAGTCATCGGCTGGCTTCTTCGGGAATGAACAAAGGAGCCTAGGGCCAAAATCGCACTATGTCAACCTAAAACTACTTTGTTCATCTACGAAGAAGCAAGCCGATGACTTAGGCTGGAAATACATAAAGAGCATATTTGGATGGCTTAAGTCATCGGCTGGCTTCTTCGGAAATGAACAAAGGAGCTTAGGGCCAAAATCGAACTAAGTCAACCTAAAACTCCTTTGTTCATCTACGAAGAAGCCAGCCGATGACTTAAGCCAGCCAAATAAGCGCTTTATGTATTTCCAGCCTTAAGCTTGCCAAATATGCTCTTTATATATTTGCAGCCTTACAAAAAAATAGCCATGGCAAAATAATACGGGTAGTTACATCACATATAAATAAGAAGTGTTGACAACAACGGTATCTATAGGCAGGTCTTAGCGACGACTTTCATTTCGTCGCTGGCTTAACGAAAAATTTCGTTAATTATCAAAATTATAAGCATTTGAATTTTACCGATTTTTTCGGTAACTCAGAAAATGAGTTACAGAATTCCACTACAGGGGCTGGATTCTTGTTTTATGAAAATATGAAATGAAAAATATTTCCTTCATAAAAGTTTTCATTTGACAGTTCCTTTCTTTATAAAAGTTTTTATTTCACATTTTCATAGAACATGAATTGAGGCCCAGGTCTACCTAATATCCGACGTTTGTTAAAAATCATAGTAAATAGAAGACGGGTTTAGCAATACTCAACGTCTCCGTGTGGTTGTTTTTTTTTTATTGGTGGTTTTTAACGCGTAAAATGGTAATTTACAGCCTGTTCCACGATCTCGAAAGAAAATTTGTGCGAACGAAGGTTACTCACTCACTTTCGTATAAGAATGCGTTCCACTAACTTTCGTTCTTTCTTTCGCATAGCCTTACGTGATTCAGTGTTGCTAAATATTTTTTTGGAAAAATTAATCTCGAAATAAGGCAAAAAAAGCGCCAAATGTCTAATTTAAACGCGAAAAAGCAGCAGTGGCTCTGTCTTAACTGACATTTCAGTTGTAAACAAACAAATTGTAAATAAACAAACAAAATAAAATTTCTAGTGATTGTGTTCAAACCATTTGTGCTCTTAGAAAATAAAAAAAAGAATATTTCCGTAGTCCTATTTTTTATGGATGATGTGAAGGAGGTTCAAAATGTGCCACGGAGGCATTTAAGAGATGCTTCGAATTTATTTGAAGTACCTAACAACCAGTAAGTATGATTGTATTTTTACATTTTTGAAATAATAAAAAATGATTTTTTCTAGGTTTGTGTCCAATTTTGGTGTGTCGAAGGAAGTTTTCGGGCTCTTTTGGATATGATGGAAGAGATGTGGGTGCCCGGTTGCAGAACTACCCAAATCCGCCCCGATTTAAAACTTCTTCTGCTGCTTCCAAAAATTGGCACTCCTCTGGCGAACACAGGATTCTCCTCCATATACTCAACTAGTGCCCGCAGCTGTGTAGTTGATGATTTTTTCGTGCTGGAATTGAGAAAATAAAAAAAATATATATTTGTTTTTCACATATTAAATTGCATTTATTATTTTTACTTACATTTTTGTTTCCATTTTCAATCAAGCAATGTTTATGTTAAAACAATTTTCCTTAATTGTTATTATACGATAGCAAACACACAAGTGACTGATTTTGACATTTGTGTTCGCATGCGTACGAAAGAAAAAAGATAGTGGAACGCAAAATTACACTGAAATGCTTACGTTTTCGTTCGCTTTGATTTTCGTGCAAATTTTCGTTCTGATGGATTTTAGTGGAACGGAAAACAGCTGTTTGTCGTGTAAAAGTTGTGCGAACGTGTTCTTTCGATATCGTGGAACTGGCTGTTAACATTAACTCTTAGTGTTATCGATAACTTGTGCAAAAATTACAGAAATCAAATCGATTTACTAAGACCTTGGTTAATCTCTTTTCTATCTAGAAACCCCTACTCTTTTTACTTTTGTTTGTACAGTGCGTGGTATTTTCATCTTTGGAGGAGATTTGATTTGGGGATTAAGAGTACATAGAGAAATTCCCAGCACTATCATGGATGCGACAAGGAGTCCAATTAACATCCACGACTTTATACTAAAATCATACACAGAGGCTAAAGCATTATCGGATTCCAATTTGGAAGTGGTGTTTGATGAGGAACATGTGGTAAGTTGTGAAATACATAGTACCGTCATTAATCTGTTTTTTACATCAGCACACCATCTCAATTTGTCTCCTTTTTTTAGACACCATCGAAAGGACATGGCCAACAAAAATGCACGAATTTAGTGTATCCCTTTGCAGCTTCTCAACTCTTTGAAGTTCCAATTAAAGAAAGCAAAGTCTTGCTCGAATCAAATCCTGAGGAGAATATCAATAAATCAATTGCCGAAATAACATTAAATATTGAAAAAACCGGCATAAGTTGGCAACCTGGTGATACAATAGCTATTCTGCCCTGTAATCCCAGAAAAGAAGTCGAAAACTTGTTGTACAACTTGGATTTGAACGATGAAGCTGATGTGAAGTGTCACATTAAAGTTAATCCTTTGTGTACAAAGAAAACAGTAAAAGTGCCAATGCACATACCCTCCACAAGTACACCACGGGAATTATTGAGAGATTGCATCAACATTAGAGGTGTACTCAAGAAACAGTTATTAAGTAGTCTAGCCAATTATTGTAGTGATAATGACGAAAAATCATTTCTTAAATGTTTATCCTCAAAAGAAGCCACGACATTGTACAATGATTTGATAATGAGCAGAGGTTTTACGCTGCTGGATATTTTGGAAATTTGCCATACATGTAGGCCACCTCTGGCTCTACTCATAGAACACTTACCCAGACTTTTGCCCCGGCCCTATTCTATTGCAAATAGTCCCTTGGTGGATGACAAAGAAATACAAATAATTTTTTCCATCCTGAACGACAAACCTGGTGTGGCAACAAGTTTTCTAATGGAAAAAATTCAAGAAGAAAATCCTACAATCCTCATGTATTTAAGAGAGGCCAACACATTCCGTTATGTGGAAGAAGATTATGGCAAAAATCAAATATTGATAGCTGTTGGAACGGCATTGGCACCATTTTTGGGTTTCCTGCAACACAAAGAGCAACTCGCCGGACAAGAATCAAATATTCCAAGTGGACAAACTTGCTTATTTGTTGGGGCCACCAAAGAACAAGCGATACTTCATAGAGATCACCTAGTAAAGTGGAAAACAAAAAATATTCTAAATACATTTTCGGAAGCCTTTTCGCGTTCTTCTCAGCCTCAATATGTACAGGATGTGCTGTTAGAAAATTCTGCCAATATTGTGGAACTGTTGTTGCAACCAGATACGGTGCTCTATCTATGTGCAGATGGTGGAGAAATCTCCAAGAGTATAGAAACATGTTTGTGTCGAATATTCCATGAAAAATTACAAATTTCCGAAACGGAAGCTGGGCAAATGTTGAAAGATTACAAAGCCCAGGGAAAATACAGAGTTGATGTATGGCTTTAAAACTGATATCTTTTTTGTTAGAACAATTGTTATGTAATATATTTTTATACATATTGATGAAAAATATATAAATTATTAAAATATAACTAAGGCGTTTTATGAGCTCTAAGGATACTCAAAATTGTCACCATTTTATGGGGGTGGTACCAGAAGGAGTGGACCGATATATTCCATCATCACACCAGACCTTGGGTTAATAAAAATATTGTGATGTGTGTAATTTGAAGAGAGAAACGGTTGCTTATTTCGGATTTTATGATCGTTTTTGTTCTTCAAAACTTTGACTCTTTGTGGGGGAGGTATCAGAAGGAAAGATCGGAGCTTTAACATAGTCCTACAAAAGGCGTTAAATCTCACGATCTAGTCCGAATAGACGCTTCAGGGGGTCGATTAAATTTTTCATATTTCACGCATTTTGATAAAATTGAATGGTTTGCACTTTTTGTAAATTATGGACCAAACTAAATATGTTTGAAAGTAAAATAAAACACGAAACGTCCCGTAGCTGTTTAAACCAGTGTTGCCATGTTGTAAATTTCCCATGTTCCATTATAATGCAAAAAAAGAACAATTAAATTTAAAAATAACGAATATATTTAACAAAAAAAAGTATACGTAAATATTGTTACAAAGTGGTTACATTTTACAAACTAGACGTGCATGTATGTGTGTGTGTTTGGGTCAAAAATTAAAAATAGCTTACAAAAAATTACAACTAGAAAAAAGTTTGTATACAAAAAAGGAAGAAGTAGAAGAATAGATGGAAGGACATAAGGTTTAAAAAAATAAAACTAATTTTATGTTTATCATTTACTTTATTTTTGAAAATTTCTAGTTTTTTAGTTATGTTTTTTTTATATTTATTTTAAGTTTTACGATAGTTTATATATAAACGGAATATTGTTTATTAATACAGATACTTTACGTTAACAGGCTTTTTCTTTTTCGTATTTTTTCTTGTTTTTGTTTTTTAATTAAGTTCTCTCATAGAAATTGTTACGGTTTCACATATATAATATATGTATGTATGTGTGTATGGCGATCAAATAAATGATCTCAAAGAGAGAGTTTAAGTTTGTGTGTGTGTTTTTTTTTTCGTTTTGTTTTGTTTGATTGAATTTGTATTATTTTGCATTTCCCAATTAGGGGTTGATTTTCATTTTAGTTATATGTAGATGTGTTGGATTGGTATGTATTTTCAATTAATTGTTTTCTTTTTTTGTTTTTGTAGAAAAAAATGCAGTAACAATACTGTTTTATTTAGAACTTTATTTCGTTGCTAATACATGGTTCAAAGGGGCGTAAAAGGGGTTTGTGTTTTTAATTTTTGTGGAGTTGGTGTTTTTGGGGCAAAAAATGTTGGGGGGAAGTTTTGGGATTTTATTTTCTTTGTGTTTTATTAAAAGTTCGTTTAATATTAGTTCCATTAGAAAAAAATTAACTATATATATTTAAATTTATAATACACAAATATATAATATAATATGGTATATATATAGTATATGTAGTAAAATTAAAGAATAACTACAGATTTGAATAAAGCCAAACTATATAATTTTTTATTATTATGTATATATAAATTTGTTTTAAATTATGTTTTTTACAGGGCACTTTAAAATTTTTTCTTGGTTTTTCTTCTCGATACTAATAAACTAGTATTTTAATTTGAATTTTTTTGTTTTGTTATGATTAAATGATTTTTGAACATTTTTAAACTACATTTCGTATAAAATTGTTATATGTATTGTTGTTGTAGTTGTATTACAATAATAATTAGGTTTTTTTTCTTGTTGTATATATGTATATTGTATATAATTGTGCGTTGTATTCCAAATATGTTTTTCGTTTCAAATTCAAGAAGCTATTGTAAAATTTATGCTGTTGCATTGTTTTTGTTTTTATACACAAATTGTATTAGATATATATTTTTGGAAAACTAAAAAGAGTATATGAGAGAAGGAAGATTTAGGACAGTCTACTTTTCAGTTGATATTTCGGTTATGTTTGGCAAAAAACTATTATTTAAATGATGCCAGAAAATTGTTTCCATACAAAACTGAATTTAAAAAGAAAACAGTATAGATAGACAAAAGTCGACTTTATGTTAACCAACACCACTATGAACATTTTGTAGAGGTACCCGTAAAAAATTAACGTTTATATTGGGAATTTATGTCAAGTAGATAATATGAGCCTTTTTTAAATGCGTATTATGGCTTTAGATCAGAGCGGATTTCCACCAATTTGCACCATTTGTACCTATCGTACCAAATAACATTGCCATAGAGTGCATGATATGACTTCGAGAAGGATTAAATTTCATATTCCAGTATGACTGTTTGGATAATGCAGTTAAACTTATCAAAAAACCATAAAGTGAGTGAGCCCGTTATATGGGGCCATAGCAAAACGGGAACCTCCATAGACAATTTTATACTTCAAGGATTTTCATCTATCAATTCTTCTAAAATACCAAATTTGAAACAATTCTGTGGGTAAAAGATGGGTGGGTACCGTTACATGTGCGCTATAGGAAAACGTGCACCTATACATACACTGTTTCGCCAACGGAGCTAGAACCCATTATGACCCACAAATACCAATTTTTAGACAAAATGTGACAAAAATCAACAAAAAACTAAATATCGGGAGGTACCCTTGTATGGGGGCTATATCAAAACGCGGACCTATACATACAATGTTTCGCCACACGAGCAAGAGCCCATTAGGACCCACAAATACCAAGCTGAAGCTGTTGGCCAATTCATGTAGCCGTGCATCCTTCAAACAAACCAATCTTTATAGAATACCCTTTTTTTTCTCTTTTTAAGAGCCATAGGGTTATTGACAGGGGAGAAACTTTAAACTTCTTCTCAGACATAGATCCCATTACCATTGACAAATTTGCCAATGGCATTCCCTGGCTATGCAGATACCACCGTCCTAACACACTTCTCATTTCTATGTCTCTCCTTATTGCCAACATTTTTCATTTCTTCCTAGGATAACAACAATGGACCAAACAAACCAGTAGAATAACCTTTTTGCTCTTCTCATAGAGGTATATTGGTCTTCTGACATACACTATGTTCTCTTGAAAGATCAATTCGATGCCTCACAACAGTCCACTGAAAAGAAATGCCAGCTGTTTCCAAAACTAAAGGTCATTGGCTAATTAAACGCCCCAATTCCCAATTCCACCCTGTTTTTCAAATATGAGAGGGAGAGACAATACTAGCTAATACAACTAGGTGCAATTTATCCTGATAGACTATGACAATGCATAAAAAACATTCTATTTTTTGATCAAAATGTTAAATTTGTGAAATATTTTTTATTCTTTCTTCCATGACAAGAGAAGAATAAATGTGAGAATACATAGAACAATTTTTTACTGGCTTAAGTTATCAACTGACTTCTTCGTAAAAGAGCAAAGGGAACGTAGGGTAAATAAGTGTAACTTATGGGTCGAAATTGAACTAAGTCAACCTTGAACTCCTTTGTTCTCTTACGAAGAGGCCAGCCGATGACTTACGCCTTTAAAAAACTCTTCAGGTGCAAATAGATAGAATGCTATTTTTACCGGTTTATAGGTGAGAATATATAAAACGCTGGCTAAAGTCATAAGCTGGTATCTTCGTAGAGAAACAAATGAGTTTTAGTTCGATTTTGGACTTTTGCTGATTTGTTCTTTTTCCAAAGAAGCCAGCCGATGACTTAAGCCAGCGAAAAAAGGGTCTTATGTTTGCTCACCTTTAAGCCGGTAAATAGATTTCTATGTATTTGCACCTTAAGTCTTCGGCTGGCTGCTTCGTAAGAGAAAACAGGAATTTAAGATTGTCTTAGCTTAGTTTCGGTCCGTAATTTATAATTGTACACCCAAAGTGGACCTGCATAGGCAACATTAGTCATAAACCATTACAATATTGAAATGCGAAACTTGAATGAAAAAATTCGGTGAATAATGTCGCTAAAATCATCAAAATACCGAATATTGAGAGGTACCTTTATATGGGGGAAATACGAAGACGTGGACCTACACAGTGAATTTTCTGTAGTATTCATTACAAACTTCAGACATCAAATTTAAAACAATTCCTGTGTATAATGTCGCTAAAATCACCAAAATACCGAATATCGGGAGGTATCGTTATATTGGGGCTATACGAAGACGTGGACGTGCACAGACAATTTTCCATAGGCTGTCATACCTATTACGAACTTTAAATACTAACTTTTAAACAATTCCGGTGAAAATGTCGCTAAAATCATCAAAGTACAGAAAAAAGGAAGGTAAAATTAAATGGGGGCTATACCAAAACGTAGACCTAAGTCACCCATTTTCAATACCAAAAGTCCTGCAGACATAATACACATTTGAGTAAAATTTTATCAACCTACTTCATTTCGTTCGGAAGCTAGAGTTATTTCCACAGACGGGCCGACATCGCTAAATCGACATAGAATTTTATGCTGATCAAGAATATATATACTTTGTGGGGTGTAAAATATATATTTCGAGGTGTTGGAGGGTATAAAATATAGACCATAGTATTTTAAGAATTTAAAAAAAAAAGAATTGTGGTCAATATTACAATAGATATATGCCAAAGCAAACAAAAATAAATTACAAAAAAATAAATGATTTTTATTGTGCGCAAATATGATGCTCATATTCTATATATTTGCATTATATATAGAACAAAATATTTCACAAGGTATAAATAAAAACATTTCTCTATATAATCGGAAAAAACTGTATTTATATGCTATTATATCTTCATTTACGGGTTTGGGTTTTCTTTTGTTTTTTGGAATATTTTGGCACCATAACTAATCTGGTCGTTGTTGGTTGATTGGTTTATATATCCGTTTTTTTTTATATAGAAATTTTTATGGACTCTGTGTGTGTAGTGTGTATACATAAAATAATATAACTATGCCCTGGGTAACTGGACAGAAATAGTGCCATATATATAAGGTGACAAACAAAAAACTACAAAAATGTATACAAAAACTATAGCAAATGAATTTTTTACAAAAATGCCTTGACTTTCGATTTCGAATTATTTCCTTTTTAACGGTTTTCAGTTGTTCTTGGGTGTGATGTTGTTTGTATACATAAATATGTTGTTACTTTTGGAAACTAATGGCACTTTTGTATACTTTGAAAACTTTAAATTACACAATGATATTGTTTTTTATATAACTGTAATTAACTACATAACTAAATACAAAAATCAAAAAAAGATTGCAAAAAAAGAACTTATCATAAAAAACTTTGTTTAAAAAAAATCATCGCCTGAATCACATTTCTCTTGTTGTTGTGGTTGTTGTTTTTACGCTTTTTCTTTAGTCATAATAACATTACACTTTACATACATGTATAATAATAATACATAAACTATTATAATTAAAAAAAGAAATTAATAAATTTACAGAAAAATAATTAAAAATTTAAAATTAAAATTTTGGCAATAGGGTTTTGTTTTCTTACAACTTTTGTTTCTTTTTCTTTTGTTATTGGTAATATATAAAGATAAGCAATAATATTTTATTTTATTTTAGGTTTTTTTTTTCATTTTCAGCATTTCATTAAAATAACTTAATTATTTTTTTTCTACATAAAATAGCACATTTTCATTAATGTATTTCTTATACTTTGCTTTTGTTTTCGTTTTTTCTTTGTAATTCTATTTAATATTTTCTTTTGTTGTATAATAATGCACAAAGTACGTTTAAAAAATTGTTTATGATATTTGTTTACTACACTACGAAAAATTCCTACAGAAGACAATATGTATTGCGTTTTTATTCATTTTTTTTTTGCTTTTTTTGTTGTAAAATAGTAAAGTTTTATTTTGTGTGAGTCTAGTTTTCGTTTAGTTATTCTTTTTCTTTTGTTTGGTTTTTTCTCTCTCTTTTCAGAATGATATTGTTTAGTTAATTGAAAACGTTGCGTGGGGTGTTGTTCTTCTCCAGTTTGGTGTGTAGCATCATCAGCATCATCATATAGCCAGCCATCAGCGGTAGTACTAGTAAATTATAGATCGAGTAGAGGAGGAGGAGGTGGAGTAGCAGCAGAAGGAGCAGGAAATTAATCAAAACCAATTTGTGATGTGATAATTTATTGTTGTTCTGCCCGGCCGCTTGTTATGGAAAATACATGAGGGGGCTGCTTTTTGAAATATATTATTCCACATCGATATTCGTTGTCATCTGATTGATTGGCAGGCAGGTAAGTATTTCAAAATTTCGTTACATCTGAAAAATTGAGTAGAAGAAATAAAAAATAAATAAAAGCTTGATTTTTCCAATAAATGATTATAGATATTTGAAAAAAAAGCAGTATAACAGTTTTAAGAATGTTATACAACAATGAAATTATTAGTATGTCAAGTTTTTTTTTTTCTTATTTTAAAAAAAAATGTGCAGTATAATAGTTTTCCCGAACTGTTTTACAACTATTTAAACTATGAAGAATGTCGTTTTTTTGCCATCTTCTGAAAATCTTATGAATTTTAAAAATTTTCGTTAATTCTGTACAGTGTAACAGATTTTCAAAACTGTTATACAACTATTCAAACTGTGAAGAATGCAGCTTTTTTGTCATCTTTCGAAAATATCATGAATTTAAGCAATTTTCGTTAATTTTGTACAGTATAACAGTTTTCTAAAACTATACAACCATTAAAACTTTGAAGGATGTATTTTTTGTCATCTTTCGAAAATATTATGAATTGTAACAATTTTCGTTAATTCTGTACAGTATAACAGTTTTCCAAAACTGTTATACAACTATAAGGAATATCGTTTTTTTGTCATATTTCGAAAATATTATGAGTTTTAAAAATTTTTGTTAGTTTTGTACCGTATAACAGTTTTTCAAAACTGTTACACAACTATTCAAACTATAAGGAATATATTTTTTTGTCATATTTCGAAAATATTATGAATATTAACAATTTTCGTTAATTTTGTACAGTATAACAGTTTTCCACAACTGTTATACAACTATTTAAACTATGAAGAATGTCGTTTTTTGTCATCTTCCGTAATTATAATGAATTTTAACAATTTTCGTTAATTCTGTACAGTATAACAGATTTCCAAAACTGTTATACAACTATTCAAACTATGAAGAATGTAGTTTTTTGTCATCTTTCGAAAATATTATGCATTTTAACAATTTTCGTTAATTTTGTACAATATAACAGTTTTCCAAAACTGTTACACAACTATTCAAACTATAAGGAATAAGGAATATAGTTTTTTTTGTCATCTTTCGAAAATATTATGAATATTGACAATTTTCGCTGATTTTGTACAGTAAAACAGATTTCCAAAACTGTTATACAACCATTCAAACTATGAAGAATATAGTTTTTTGTCATTTTTCGAAAATATTTTGAATATTGACAATTTTGGCTAATTTTTATTGATATAACAGGTTGGCGAAAAACTGTTATACAGCAACATAAAGGTATGAATAGAATTTGAAAATAGATTATTTACCTATATTGTGAAAACTAACAAAAGTCTCATTTTATTTTGAGGGTATAACAGTTTTTAAAAACTTTTATGCAACAGTTTTGGAAAACTGTTATACAACAATTATATAATAATTATTATGGCATGTTTTTTTTATTTTGTAAAAAAATTTAAACTTTTTGCACAGTATAACAGTTTGAAAAAAACTGTTATACAGCTTCGAATTAGCTTCTTAACACAAATAACACGAAAACTAACAAATGTCCTATATTTTTTGAGAGTATAACAATTTTTAACAGTTATAACAGTTTCTAAAAACTGTTATACTACAATTCCAACAGATTTTGGGGAACTGTTATACAACAATAAAATGATTATTATGGGAATTTTTCCCAAACTTTGTAATAACATTTAAAGTTTTCAACTTTTTTAAACAGTATAACAGTTTGAAAAAAAAACTGTTATACAGCTTCGAATTAGCTTCTTAGTACATATATTACGAAAACTAACAAATGTCCAATATTTTTTTAGAGTATAAAAATTTTTAACAGTTATAACAATTTCTAAAAAAACTGTTATATAACAATTTAAACAGATTTTGGAAAACTGTTATACAACAATAAAATAATTATTATGGGCATTTTCTTCCAATTTTGTAATAAGATTTAAAATTTTTAAATTTTTTACACAGTATAACAGTTTGAAAAACTGTTATACAGCCATTCGAACTTTTAAAAATGTAGTTTCCCCTTTATTTTTCAAAAATATTATAAATATTACAATATTTTAGTTGTTATTGTTACAACAGTTTTGGAAAAAACTGTTATACAACAAGCCAAATGTTTGGAAACCGGTTTTTTTTTTTATTAAATTCTTAACATATATTTTAAAAACTGAAAATTGTCCATATTTTTTTAAGAGTATAATAGTTTTGAATATCTGTTATACAACAATTCAAACGCTTAAAATTAGTAAAAAAAATTTGGTATCTATTTCAAAATTTCAACGAAAAACTTATCCTTTTGAAAGTTTTTTGTTATTTCAAGAGTTTAAGGAAAACTGTTATACAGCAAGCCGATTTTCAAGAATCATATTAGGCGTTTTCAAATATTTAAAAACATTATGCCCATTATGACGCTAAATTTCCATATCTTAAAATTCCAACTGTAGCAGGGTATCACATGCCTCCTAACCTTTTCAGCAAATTTTCATGGAAACATTTTATATAATCTTGAACTAGCCCGTACCAAAAACTAAAATTAACAATAAATTTAATTACATAAATAAATAACGAAAAAGGAAATGGAAAACAAGCGTATAAAAATTCAATTCAATACCAAATATTGCATTTTTTACGCCACATAATAAAAAAAAAACAAAGAAATATGAAAACCAACATTAAATGAATGAATTAATAAATAATAATAATAGAAAAAAGAAACACAGGCAAAACAACATGAAAACAAACGGGGCGCTATGTAATTATTTTGCAATATGAAAAATTGGCTTGGAAAATTCAAAATTTTTATGACACTGTAACCTTCATTAATGGCAAAACTGCTGTTGTTGATGTTGGGGCTGCGATTACGTTTTGAACAATAATCACGAAACAAAAAAATGGTAGCAGTAGCGGTGAGCGACGATTGAATCAATGAATGAGCCAACAAATCTAATGGCAAACGATCAAACAGAGAGGTGGCTGGCAGCTAGCAGTGAGTTGTAGTGTTTTCGGATGCGGCGGCGGCGACGACATGTTCTGGGAACAATGGAATCGAATACAAACGAAAACAAAAAAAAAAAAAAAAAAAAAAAAACACAATATCAATTGTTAATATCAAAAAAATAATACGTATGTACCTACATACATACGATTTTTAAGTAAGTACATAGACGCGGTATTATATGGATGATAGACGACGGCATTTAGAACAAAAACAAAACAAAAATGTCATACACCCAAACGTCCGTCGTAGATACCAAACAGAAAATTATTAGGTATTAGGAATGGTTATCAGCAAAAAAAGAAATTAAAAATGATAACAGGGTATTTTTTTTTGCTTTCGTTATATACCACCAACCTACTTCATAGATATGAGAAGAGGAAGTTTACAATAATTTTGCTTTAAAATATTTTCACAAAAAAAATTAAAAATATTTTATTAATGCTAAAATAAGGAAAACTCTCTCTATTCTTTCTTCTCACATCGCTCTATTTTCTTCTTGACGTATGTACTCTTTTCATTTTGGATATTTTTTCTTCTCACATCACTATTTTCTTCTTGACATATGTAGTCCTTTCTTTTTGTCATGCTTTAACTAACAACTATTTTTGTAATTAACAACAAAAATTAACATATCTCCAGTGGAAAAAGCTAAGCAGCATCAACAACGCGAACCATAAAAAATGACATTATTTTAACAACTTTCATCAAAGTGATGAGAGCAAGAGAAAGGGAAGCGGTCGAGATGCTGTTGCATTGTCATTGCTGTCAGCTGGTGCAGAGATGGACGGTTTGAATATTCAAACAATTGTGAAGAAAAAGGCGTGTGATTTCTTAAAAGGCATTTGTCATGACATTGTCATTTTGGAAAGAGGAAATATTTAATTTCCATTCAAAGTCGAGTCGGTAAACACATATATACAGCATTTTTTTGCACACGTTATGGTATGACATTTTCGTACAACATTCTATGTCTGGCCGCAATCGAAAGTTGTCGATAATAAGTTGTGTACGAAAGCACCGATATTTTGTAGATTACAAATTTAATTCCTAATTACGTAATAAGGAAATATTTGAAATAGAGATCTGCATTATGCATTACCACAGGGAATGTGAGCTCTCTCAAATGGCATCGGAGAATGCAACTTGATGATACGATAATAATATAATTTTATATAGCGACCTTGATAATTTTGGCGATTTGTAATTCTTATAGGAAATTTCACCAAGCTTCTCTACTAATTTAAACCAAATCTTGTAAGAAAAAGGGATAAGCTTGTGAAAACTTGACTTAAGGCAAAAACTGTCATTCCCAAATTTTAGAGTTTCCGCTGTATGGGAGTTATGCCTGAATTTTGAGAGAAGTTAGTATACATTCAGTGAGCTAATAATTCTAAATTAAACTTGACCGAAAACCAGAGAGACTACACCATAAAATGGACGATGCTTAACATTTTTTTTTGTATGGAAACTGAGGTCAATACCGAAAAAGTACATAAAATGAGGCGGAAACTTTATAGAGGACTATATCAAATATTGGGACCTACATTGAATATATTTTACGAAAGGTTAAACAATACATTTATATCTAAAGTATCAATTTCAAACTGACTTGTTTTGGAAATTGTGGTCTAAACCTTAAAAGTAACCTAAATCAGGAGGTGCCAATATATGAGGTATACCAAAAATGGACGAGGAATTAAAACTACCCACTAAGAATCGGATATTATAAATGATAGCCGATTTGTCTGAGATTTAGGGTCTAAAACTTAAAAATACCGAAAATCGGAAGAAAACGTTATAGTGATTATATAAAAAAGTGGACCCGTATTGAATTTTTATTTTTCGGGGATTGATTTGGGGTCCAGTACTTAAAAATAAAAAAAAAATTGGAGTTATATGAACTTATATCAAAAAACTGGACCTACTTTGAATATTTTTTTCGCGGAGTTAAAATATTTACCGAGACTCCAAAATATCAAATTATTGCCGATTTGTATGAGAATTGTACAGTTATATGAACTTATGCCCAAAAACTGGACCTACATTAAA